CTAGTGTTTTTAATTCAAGTATAAGTTGATTAAAACGAACACAAGAATAATGAGTAATCAGTATGGTTATAAATAAAAGTGTTTTTTTTTATATTCATAGGTTTTGATACCATACTAGATTCAATTATTCTTGTGTTTCATTTTTGCATGTTTTGACTTCTAGAATAAACTAGCTCACTCTTCCGAATGACTAAGTTATTCAAACCATCCACAGTCGGTCATATGTTGGAAGTAGATATGAATCAAGACTGTCATGAGTTGGCTGGTAGATGTCTAAGATGTTGGACATAGCAAAGAGGTGCCACAACACTCATGAGTGCTCATAAGTTCTGAGTATTGGATTCAACCTGTGCTCATTTGAATCACTTCATGGATTTTATCACGAGTGATCATGAGACGATAATATCTTATATTCTTCAAACCTAGATATATGAGTTGTTACTATGAGTTGGTTGTACATTGATTGCGCGAAAACACATTGGTAACTCGATGTTATAAAACGTGCTTTTGTGTATGATTCAACAAGTAGTAGAACAAGCCATGTGAGTCGAAGTTTATCCATTCCTTTTACCTTCAGGATAAAAGCGATATATGTGGGCCCCTCGATGATTTAGTGATGACAAATGTAAGTGCTCGTCCGGGCCTGGACTGATTTGATTTGTTCAATTAGTCAGTCGTCATAAATCGAAAATCGGGAAAAAACAAATGGACAGAGAGAATGATTTATAATCCATGTCTCAGTCCATATGATATCTAGAATGGAGGAATATATGATCCCTTATCTAATGCAGAAGTCATTGACGAGATCAGAGTTCAGTTACAACGTCAGAGTTCGACAGCGGCTTAAAGAGCTACGATTGCCAGTCGGTTCTTGAAGTCATACTCAATAACATTTTTATACTTATCCAAGTGGGAGACTATTGGATTAGTGTCTAAGTCCATTACTATATTTGGTATGTAGTTGACCCGACTTGGCATGGTCCATTTGGGTTGCATGGCATCGGGACAATTGGATAGACAAGATGAGGAAAAATAAGGATACTAGTGATTTATATTAATATATTATAAGTTCTAATATATTAATATATAATCATATCATTTAATTAGTATTTATTAAGGATTAATTTATAATTAATTAAGTGATCAAAAGGAACTAATTAAATGTGGACTCTTAGATATATATATATATGTGTAGTGGGCCAAGTTCATTTAGGTTGGGCTAAGCTTTCATGGATAGTCCATGGAGCTTTAACCCATGGATCCTACGGAAATGAAAGGTCATGGATATTAGGGTTTAACCTTAATCCTCCACACTATATAAAGAGTCCAATGGTGCATAAAATGGTGGTTAAGAAGATGACTAGTTCATAGTAGTAAGGGCATAACCGATTTTATGAGATGTAAACCAAGTATCCTTTATTCCTTAGTTATTCCAAATGTTCATGGTGTTGTGTGAACCATTTGAGGTGTCACACTTGGGGCACTCGACTCTTAAGCATCAAGGAATCAAGCTACATGAAAAGGTATGTCTTCTAACTTGTTTTATTACCCAAGTATCAAAGATTGTATGCTAGATAGGGTAATACCTTGGAATAATCTTATTTGCATGTATAATAGAGAAAACATAGATCCAAGCTATTTAGGGTTGCATGAACACTTAGGAGTGTTAGAATGCTCAAAACCCAACAATTACTACCAATCCTTTTGGAAGATCCCTATAACAAGCTCCGTCCATGAACATGAGTCGAGTCGGCATCATTCACGGGAATAATCAGAGCCAATGAAGAAATGAAGGTGTCTAAGTCAATGAATTGGGTATCAGAAGTATTGGTTTTACTTCTTTCAACATGATTTGAACCTTTAGGAGTAATAAGCTTAGTCCCCACCTTTAAAATTCCAAGGATCAACCTCATAGGTCTGAATCAGGAACCAAACAACTTTTAATGGAAGGAAAGATTAGCGGCATCACTAGGAGCCTTGAGAGTAATTGAAGCAGGAAGAGTTGTGGCAGAAGTTGCGATAACATCATTTTGAATGTGAATCATCTGCTTCTGCTTATTAGAAGTCAAAATTAATGAAGTAGATTCGAGAACGGCGTTAGGAGTTTCGATCCAAATAGGGTCGGAGTGAACAGGATATTCGTGGGGTACAGTAGCCTCGCCGGTAGTCGGTTTAAGAATGACATCAACAGGAGGGGTGTGTCTCAAACAAGGCATCTTCATTTGTTTTCTCCACTCCATGATCCCCGCCCCATCACACCTGAAGAATATAACATTCGATGGCGCTTAGTAGGATAAATGCATGTAAGATCATTGGAACGCTTAATAACTTCTTCCAACAAAGAGACCTTCTCCATTTCAGAATCACCTACTTATATAGTATCAAGAAGAGAGCCACCTTTCTGCTTTTGTGTGATGTGTTACCCTTCATGGTCTACTTCAATGAGGAAGTAGGGGTTTTGGTACTGGGTAAATCAATCTTAACCGCCCTCCTCCCATTATTAAATGGATTCACCAATAGGGAATGGCCGGAGTCAACGACATGGGAAGAATCGATGTTAGACTCAGTATCAGGATGGGTATCCCCTACGAAAGATCCAAGAGACCGAGTGGTAGGTATGTTGGAGGATTTGGATGTCCCGGTAAGCCACCTCTGGTGAAGTCGATCAAGGAGAGAGTGGCAGTTATCTCAAGTGTTTCCTCATCAGGATCCGACCCTTTCATAAAATTGGCAGTTAACCTATCGACAATGGAATACTCCTCAAATGTAAGTTCAGGAGCAAAGTCAGAATCTTGATCCATGATCTCTCAAAAACAAATAAGACCACCAAAAGCAGAAGCATCGACAAAGAATAATTCATGTTTCCAATTTTTGATAGAAGAAGGGAGTCCATCACAAATGTCGATCAAACCATGATGGAGGTAGAATGATATCCAATCATTAATCACCAAGGTCACATAGAAGTGATGAAACAGGGAAAGATTAAGAATAACATTCAAGGATTGGGGTAATTTGAGTGGCATGGAGTTTGTAATGGCCAGTAATCACTCTTAGAAACAAAAATGCAGACAGCCTCAAATCGGCCTTCAAGAACTGTTGATAAACTCCTATGAAACCTAAAGGAGTATTGGTAAGAGACTGGGATGGAGACAAAAGTTGTAGTTTGAATTGAAATCTATTTTGTATAACCGTATAATGTCTTCCAAAGTTTTGGAGGTAAGGGAAGACAATGTCGTATGAACACTTTGATTATACTTCGCCATTACAAGAATAATGAAGAACTTCGAAGAGAGAATAAAGAAATAAAGATAGAAAATTACAGGTTGAAATGAGTAAGCAGTTAGTTTCGCAAATCATCATTTAAATAAAGTAAAGTTTGAATTTCAAAATTACGGTACGAGGCGGTAGGGTGATGATTAGGGATAAGTTTGCCCAACGGTCATATCAACATTCACATCAAGTTGAGACTTATCCATTTGTAGAAGGATTCGTGGTAATAACATTAATTCGAATCATTCTAAATAATAATTTAAACTAGAGGCACTTAATGAGGTGTAGATCAGACATGTCACCTCTAGTTCGTTCGGCCAAACCAAACCATGAGAACATTCTCCGAACAACCAAATTGATCTTGGAGTAAATTAATGTTATGCTGAAGCCGAAGGATAAATGGCCGAACTGTTATTTAATGAGAATCAATCACAGATGTAAGTTGTCAAGATTAAGACTGTTAAATCTCGATATCTCCAACATACATGTTGTAACAGGCCGTGGAAGACTGTAACAGTGGACATGTTCTATCAGAAATGACCAATGAATCTACATAAGTACAACCTTTTGTGCCTTCGGCAATTAGAGCATTAAAGACGAACTGACTGAGCCTGTGTGGTCTTGTTGAAGTAACTATTCCTGATAAAATGAGTATAAAGACCGAACTCAATGTGGGGAACAGGTACGTAATATTGAGTTCATCTCATGAATTACATAAAATGATCTAAAAGAGATATTTGACTTAACCATTAGAGCGTTCTCGCGGGACTCCCCCCAGTGAACGGATGACTGATTGTGTTGCATTTCAGGTTCGGAGCATCGGCTTTTATCAAGATATTCAGATACAAGCTCATCATTGAAGATTATGAAACATGGGATTCATCAATTTGTATTCAACATCAACCCAACTACCACTACTAGAAACAAGGGTTTCAGCGACGGACAAATCCGTCGCTATTCTGTTGCTAATGATTGTTTGTGACGGATCAGCAACAGACAGAGTCCATAGCCAATTTAAGTGTGGCTAATGTGTTAGCTAGGGATTTTGCGACAGATTAATTTTTCCTTGTGACGATTTAGCGACAGATTATCCATCGCAAATGGTTACTTACTACACTTATTTAGGACATTTAGCGACCAAACTTAATAACATTATTCCGTCGCTGATCCGTCTCAAATCTCCATATTTGCTTTTGTACTTCGTTGTTGATCCGTCGCAAATGTATGATACCGCATTTTTGTAATCTATCACAAATCCCTCGCAAATTTATGATACCCGATTTTGTAGTCCGTCGTTGATCCCTCTCAAATGTTTAATACCAGATTTTCTTTAGTCTGTTGCTGAACCCTCGCAAATTTAGTAACATACCATATTTTTTTGTTTTTTTTATTACCAATCTAAAACAAAAATACCAAAAAACATCAAATAAATTATATAATCTCAAAACAAACATTAATATTTAAATATCAAAAGTATTAATAATATACACTCCAAAACCAAGCATTAAACTTAAACCACAAAAAACATCTATCAAAGTTTACCAAAAAAAATCCTAAATAATCAAATATCAAAGTTTAACGTTAATCGATATTCGATTTCAAAGTACGATAATTCTTAATTTCGTCTAATGTTTAACCTCCATTTTTGCAGCTTGAATATCCATCTCTCCACATATCTCCAGTCGTACACATTCATACACAACCTACAGTAAAAACTGGAGTAGTCATGGCTATCTTTTTTCCACTCTCGAATTCTTCCTAAATATGTACCTGTAAAGTGTGTAAATTTCCATCTATTAACATCCCACTGAAATGTAGTAAATACCCTTCAATAGTAACAAAATGGGAACACCTTGATGACCCAAGTCAAATTTAATGGTGGCAAGATAGTAAACTTGGGTCAAAAAACTTGCTAGAATAACTAGAAACTCACCCAACTACATCATTGAATCCTGTAGATCGAGCAAGCTTATCACTTTGTGGTTCAACAATCGTGATAATCACTTTTAGTAAATGTGATTAAGCATAATTTCTAGATCAAAGGATTAATAGACCTCATAAGTTGCAGTCCTTTTGAGTATCTGATATTTAGATGTTTCAAAATCTCGAGTCTTGTAAATCTGCAGCTGTATGGATAAAAAAAAAAAGAAAATGACATTGAAACTTTGAGTGTATGAATAAAGTATAAACAGTAAAATAATGTAGATACATTTTTTATTAGATCCACAAGACCTTCCATAGAGAATGCCAATAGTCCTACAAAGTTGTTTAAAAGAAACTAATGAATTGCTAAATATTGCAAGAATGATGTGTGTGTTTGAGAGAATGCCATTTTCTGGATTGATGCCCATAACCGAAGTTCCTGTAAAAACCAACATTAGCTTCCATGGTAGGAGCAAAAATGTCATTTCCATTGTCCAACTAGTAGTTATTTCAAAAGTTATTGTCTATACACAAAGAAGAGGAGATCCTTTTATATGACTTGTGGTCAGATTACTTGAAATAGCAACCAACTTTACATAGTTTTCCATTTTTAGCAACCAATTTTTTTCTCATTTAGGTTAAATCACAAAAAAGACATGCTAGTTGAGGACAAATATTATTGGTACAAAAATAGTTAACTAAATAGTATGAGTCTTCTATTTCCCTGAAATCAATTTCCATCAATCTCTAGTCAAATGATTATATAACCTAACTTACTTTATAATTTCAAATGACTAAAAAACCTAAATTTCCATCAATCTCTAGTCAAATGATTATATAACCTAACTTTCATTTTCAATCTTAGCCATGACAATCAAAACTTCTCAACATGTATAACATCTAGATGCATAGTGAAATGGAGACTACATGTGCAAGTTGTTATTCATGTTAGCCATCATCCAATAAGAGTGGATATTGTACAAAAATTCATATAAGTACGTACCATTATGTAGTATTCACATTGCATACACTTAAAATGTGCATGTGGTATGCCATGACTTCCACCAAGAGCACTAGGAATTACAACAATACATCAATTTAGCCACTTAAGAGCCAAAAATGTTGAAAGCATATACATATTCATATGAAAAACGGGTCGACTTACTTGGAAACCTGTCATTCATATGGTGGCCTATAGTTACATCCTTTGTTGCTTTTGTGTTCAAATTTTAATCCAACCTTTTGAATCACAAGTAATGGATCGGATGACATTATTCATTCTTGCCACTATTATATGAGAATATGCAACCAAAAAATTATGTGATACCTCTATTGCCCAAATCCTCCGTTTCTAGGTTTTCTCTCAATCTTATATGATGGGGAACCCAACTTGGACCTGTTGTTGATAAAAGTCAAAAGCATTATTAATCAAAGTGTATAGAGTGAAAGATAATTTTGAAAAATTAAACTAGAAAAGACCCATATGTACACAAATGCCTTGTGTAACTGAAAGTATTCAAATTAAAACATACTTCAAAAGACTATAAAGAAGAAAGTTTGGAACAACAAGCAGAAGGAAAATGAGTTCAATCCACATCTCCTGTTCATATACGAAAAACTTCATTTTTTGATAGTCAATAACAACCAAAAGTAATCAAGTGTTAGATTAAAAAGTTGTAAATTTTTTGAAGGGAATATGAAACCAAAATCAAAAGACACAAGCTTGACATTAAACAACTAAATCCCTAAATAATCCTTACATCTGCTAAAGCAAGATTCGCGCATGAGATAACTACATGAAGATCATCTAATTATATAAACAAAAAATGAAAGATTGGAAAATAATGATTTGAATATTAAGAATCATATATATGAATATAAAAGAGTTTGGAACTTATAGCCACCGGGTACTCAATACTAATGTGAAAACATCAAAGGTTGTTTTAGGAAATGTACCAAGCATTATGACACCCTCCAAAGACTTATGCAACTATGATATTATTATTCTACTTCCAACTTTTTTTCTAAGTAAGAAACTACTTCACCAGCCATATCACATGGTGTAGGACAAATTCCATCTTTTTGTTCAATCTTAATCTACAAAAAGGTCCAATTTCACAATGTACGAAAAACACGCGAAAATGACAAAAATGACCTTGAAAAATGTACCTCATAATTCAAAGGCGGTTCATAAGGATCATCAATCCCAATAGATCCTACAATTCCACAAAATTATATGAATGAGAGTGCACCATAATATAAAAATAGCAACATACTTTACAAGATTTAATAATTTAAATAAAAAGCATAACCCATGAATCATGATCATTTTCTTTTATTAACGATTAGTGAGTCAAGTAAAAAGGGCACCTTTAATCTTTCCTAGATCTTACTAGCTTGTAAAGACCTTTAAAATCTCTTCTTTCACACACTTCAAGAGGCATGTTTATGAACACCTGTGTATTTACACATCGATAAATTTAGCTTCTTCTTTTTTGTACAAACATGTAGTAATTTTATATAAAAAACAGAAATAAGCATTGCCTCTATAAAATTTGCATTTGTCAACATTGCACGAAATGCACCACGGCCCTTTCTATAAGGGGATATCAAACTGGCTATACAGATTAAACCAAAATCTACAAATAACTTTGCTAGTTCTATTAAATAGGATTATAAATCAACAACTTTAATAATGAATTGTTACCCAAACCTTTTTGCATTAAACTAATAGTTTATTGTAGTTTAAGAAAAAATCCAATCCATGATGACACAAGCAAATGTCTAATCATATAAAGTGTTAGGATATATAACCTTCAGGTTATTGTTTTAATCGATAGAATTAAGATTTCGATTAAAATTGAAAGGAGATAGACTTTTACCCTTCAGGAAGTGGCGCATTACTGCCTTCTTCTTCACTACCCAAATTATATTCATAGAATATCAGCCAAAATTACCTCAAAGTTAATCAAATTTCATCATTGTAACATCAATTCATAGCTAGTTCTATCATCTAACACATAATAGTGACCTAAAATTATGAATTTCATCCACAAAGTTCAAAATTACCTTAAAGTTAATCAAATTTGTATGAAAAAGAGCTAATTATTTAATCTTTGAATAGTTGTAAGCTTTAAATCTAAGTAAGATCGGATAGAAAGCACTGGCTCTTCACTTATTGTATCAGTTGTTGATGCAACTTGAGGGGTATAAGGGGAAGTTTACCAAGAAACAACCTTAACACATCAGAAACTCATACATTTAAATAATTAAACTTTGGTGTCATGAATTAATTGAAATATGATGTATGATTTGTGTATATGTACCTGGTTAGATGTGGGGGAGATTAAAAGTTTATTTCCATCATCATAAAATAAACCTCTTGATCCATTATTTTTCCAGCTTAAGGGTGGATAATGGATGTATGCATGTGAAAGAGCACCAGATCCACCAAAATTTGATGTATTTATAGACATTTAAATTCTACAAATTTTGTTTAACTTTTATGAATATACTGAGTGGTTTTATATATGGGGTTTGATGGATTTGTGATGGCAAGTTCTATAAATTTATGGCTTTCCCTTAAGCTGGAGAAAAAGAAAAGAAAGTTGGTGAGAATATTAGTTACAAAAAGAAAATAAAAGAAGCTTTGAGTTTTGAGAATATTATTAAGCAATTAATACCACACTCTGCATGCAATTATTCAATTTGAGAAACTCTTTCAAACACATATCACGTTAACTTGAGGAACCTTTTCTACAACACAACTCCCGTATTCTTTTGCCTGCATTTTTTTACATAATAATTACATTGACATAACATCAAAATGTAGTGGACATATAACATATTACAAATAATACATGAGAATCACAAATTGTTAAAGTTTACAAGTGTATATTCGATTAGAACTCGTGTTAATTGTTTTTCATCCACAAAGTTCAAAATTACCTCAGCAGCCAATACATCGAACATCGTTGGAAGGAAACGACGAGGAAGGGAGTCGGATCGAGAGGAAAGCAACGAGGATGTTCTTTGGCGATGCTTCAAGTAAACTACAAAGAGGGGAGATGCAGATAAGAGAGGCGACGCAGGTGGACGGTGGTGGAGGTGATTTCCAGGGTAGAGGAGGGAATTCGGTCAACAGATTGGGATTAAGGGCTTCAAAGGAAATCGTGTTTAGGGTTTTTAAGAAACCCGTCGTTATTCCCTGGCTAAACATCTTTAATTTGCGACATATTAGCATGGGATTTCTTTTGTCGAAAAAGTTAGAACAATTCGTCGCCAAGCCCTCGCTAACCCCTCACTAAATTTCTGAATTTAATTAAGTCGAAGGATTTTGTGAAATCCGTCGCAGATCCCTCAGAAAACCTTCTCTAGTTAGCTACAGAATGGGTTATGTCGCTAATTCCGTCGCAAAAAGTCAGGTTTCTAGTACTACATGATATTACTCTTCATATATTATATATATTATATATATATATATATTATAATATATATATATATATATCTTATATATATATATATAATTATATATATATCATCTTGTTTTCTTTCATTTTTCTAAAGCTATTCATCACTGTTGCATTCTACAAGATGATCAATCGATTCACCACCTAGAGGTAATATATTTCTCATATAGCGTTTTTTGTTTTTTTTCCCGCCTCCGACGTATGCACGTTCATATCGGAAGCAATAGTGGTGGGATTTGAAGTCGCGTGTGAGGCTGAATTCATGCAGAGCGTAGAAGATGGGTACATGACTACCGTTCAAATCTTAAAGACGGTTACAAAGAGAGACAAGGGTCTCATATGGGGCTGAATATGCGTCGTTAGTTTTGAAAAGGAGCTTGGGAGAGAGAGAGAGATAGAGAGAGAGAGAGAGAGACGAGCGAGATTTGAGAGAGAGGAGAGAGAGAGAGAGAGAGAGATGAAGAGGAGGAGAGAGAGAGAGATAGAGAGAGAGGAGAGAGAGAGAGAGAGAGAGAGAGAGGAGAGAGAGAGAGAGAGCGAGAGAGAGAGAAGAGAGAGCGAGAGAGAGGCTGAGAGAGAGAGAGGGAGAGTAGAGCGAGCGAGAGAGAGAGGAGAAGGAGAGATGCGAGAGAGAGAGAGTAGGAGAGAGGAGGAGAGAGTAGGTAGGGGAGATAATGTAAATTCTAAAAGAACACATCAAAACAAATAAAAAAAGAAAAAGATAGGGTAAAATGGCAATTTAAGACACACTTAAATGAATGAGAGTAACAGTAACTAGGGCAATATTATATGAATTTTATGCATCTTCTAGGATACCTATTTCACACATTTATATCACATTTAGGTTTTAAAACTCATGCATTTTACATACTGCGAGACTGTTGAGTAAATTGTTGGAACCTTTTTATTTGAATATTTTTTTGGTTGGTTTTCTGGTAGTATGAAGTTTGGAATATTATAGGGAGGATGTTGGGGAGTTTCAATCTAAATTTAATGAACAACTGAGTTGATATGTAAAAGATGATATTTTTTTCTCGGTTAAGTCCATCAAAAAGATGATTTCGGGACTCAAAATGATTAAATCAATCAAGTCACTCCAAAAAGTAACATTGAACCAATCGAATGAGGCTCTTACTTGGTCAACACTTTTTTGAAGCCTATAAATATATGCCTAGATCATTATCTCGGATATATATGATTTTTGGAGGCCGAGAAACAAATTTTGGAGTAACGAAGTATCTAATAACACAACTTGGATTCATTTTGTGGTATTTTATCATTTAATTACCCAAAAACAGTCAGTTACATTTTTGAACTCATGTTTTTAGCCATGAACAACTATAAACCTTTATGTTATGGTTTGTAGTTTGACTTTTACGTATGTGTAATTGATATTATTGGATTGATGCATTAAATTCATTTTTAGTCTAGTGATTTACGTTTTGTTTTTATAAAGTGCTAAAATTTATATTTTTTAATCAATAGACATGTTAATAGGTTTAATTTATAGTAAAGTTAGTTAATTTATAAAACTAGTAATTGTTTTATGAATTAATAC